CTAAGCTGGGGGGCTATAAGCAAGCCCACACCAGCCCGCCGCCTCTCGCCGCAGGCAACTCCAGAGTAGTAGAGAGTCCAGCCTCTCTCGAGGAGTAAGGTTCCAGAGCCCAAGCTGTGTGTGGAGGTGAGCCCGACTATCTCTAGCTGATACCGCTCAACCTCCTGCACAAGGTCGGGCCCCTTTCCCACCAGCGAGGTGACATTCCATGTCCCCAGGGCTAGTCTCTGTGTCCAGAGATCGGGTTGTTGAAGCCCTTGCCTTTGACTGCTGCCCGAGCCACTGTGCACCATCCCCTTACAAATCCTCCTGCAGGTGGTGGGCCCACAGGAGGATGTCCCCATGTCGCTCGTTTGGGCTAAGCCCGGCCGGGCCCCGTGAGGGGAGGCCCGGCCACCAGGCGCTCGCATTCTAGCCCCAACCCCGGGCCTGGCTCCAGGGTGGGGCCCCGGCTGCGCCATGCCGGGCGATGTCACGGTCCTTGATTTTAATCTATTCATAAAGGGCTTTTGAACCACTCTTAGTCTGACCCATCACCCAGGACCTGTTTGCCTTGGGAGACCTTACCAGGGGCATATAGCCCCCGACAACATAGCTCCTAGGATCACTCGGGTACTCAAACCCCTCCACCACAATAAGGCGGTGGTTCAAGGAGGGGCCGGCACCTCTCAACCTCCTGCACAAGCTCGGGCTCCTTCCCCACCAGCGAGGTGACATATAATGAAATATAAATGTAAATATAAGAAAATATAATTAAATTGGCAATTTTAACATGTCAAAATTGTAATGAATGCAAGAATCTATGTATAACACCATTATGAATAGAAAAAAACTAATGCAGTATTTATTGTTACTAAATAATGCACAAGAAGTATTCACCATGTTGTTAATGTCTTGTGTTTATTGATTGGGCAGATGTCATAGTTTAAAAAGTGTCTCTGTTCTCTGCCTCTGTCTTATTGGCCCATTTGCTGTTTAGAGATAAGCACTATGGGTCAAAAGTTTGGTTACACTTTCCTATTCAATTCAATGGCAGAGTGTGTCCAAACTTTGACTGGTAGTGTAACTATTTACAAGTCATTATATGGCATCTCTTTATCTCTGTACTCTCAGGCTACGTAAGGCCGTGGCCCATTCAGAAGAGGAGCAGAGGGCTATCGTTCGCTGCCAGCTGGAGCTGCAGGAGAACATCGAGATCAAGGCCAACTCTCTCTACATTGACGAGGTCGTCTGCACTCAGCACAGGGAACCCATTATTATAAATAACTTCTGAGAAGTCAGCAACTCATTGGGTCTAGTATTTCTTTAAAAATTAAATTCAGAATAGATGTGAATCTGTTTTTCTTTCTTATGATCTAAACGGAGTTTCAAATAGCATTACACTGTAACTTCTGAGGTCTAAGGTGACTTAACATTTTTTGTGCTGTCAAATTTTCAGTAATGATGATACTGGTTCCCATCCTAAGAACTTGCTGGACCCGCTCATGAAAAACATGCATATACTTTTGTGCTGTCAAATTTTCAGTAATGATGATACTGGTTCCCATCCTAAGAACTTGCTGGACCCGCTCATGAAAAACATGCATATACAAAACCTTTAATGTTTCATTTAAAAAATAAAATAGCTGTGACAACGTTTATTTATTATATGTATCATTGCTTATATGAGTTCATCAAATTAATCAAATATCTCACTTCATGTTTTGAAATGCACCAGACTGTGCAGTAAGTGACCAGTTAAAATAAGAAATACTTCTCACAAAGACTTACAACATACCCCTAAATAACAAAACATGAAAGTTAGGCTAAAATATGGTGGTTACGTTATCTTAATCAGATAATTTCTCTAAATTAGATCATTACTAGTAATTAAAACACAGAAAACAAATTTATACACAAAGAACAAGAATATTAAAGAACTTTCACCTTGTAAGGAAAATGTGTCAATAAGTCACAGGAACTTTCTTCAACAGTACCGTATTTTCCGCACTATAAGGCGCACCTAAGAGCCTTAAATTTTCTCAAAAATCGGCCGTGTGCCTGATAATCCGGTGCGCCTTATGTATGGGTTAAGTACAGAAATAGACCCCGTAATTGAGACTGCGCCTTATAATCCGGTGCGCCTTATGTATGGGTTAAGTACAGAAATAGACCCCGTAATTGAGACTGCGCCTTATAATCCGGTGCGCCTTATGTATGGGTTAAGTACAGAAATAGACCCCGTAATTGAGACTGCGCCTTATAATCCGGTGCGCCTTATGTATGGGTTAAGTACAGAAATAGACCCCGTAATTGAGACTGCGCCTTATAATCCGGTGCGCCTTATGTATGGGTTAAGTACAGAAATAGACCCCGTAATTGAGACTGCGCCTTATAATCCGGTGCGCCTGATGGTGCAGAAAATACGGGTATTTTAAATTTTGATTGAAATGAATTGCAGATTTTTTTTATACCTTTTACAATTTCAGATTTATTAATAGAAACTTGAGCAGCACTGTTGTTAATGCTGTGAAAATTGTTTAGTACTGTAATACAGCCTCAAAACATTCTCTGGTTTAGACAGTGACAGTTTGCAAATACAATTTAGTGGCTGTATTTGTATTTAGCAGAAGATGCATGACAGATTTATCAGTGGTGTCAAGTTTACTTGGATACAAAGTATTATATTCTGAATTATGGAACCTCAAAGTCATGCAAACACGACCTAAAACTAAAGGATACCAAAACTAAAAACTAAGTGTAAACCTTCAATTAGACATAAAAAATCTAATGTAATGATAACAATAAAATTACATTTCGTTACCCATATACTTGTCTCTTGATAATCATGTATTGATCAGAGATCTCAGAAGCAACATGTCCCTTATGAGGGGATCGCTCTCTGTGTCAAGAGACTGTATCTTTGGCACTTTACCTAAAAAACACAGAGAGGATGAGTGGAAACACCTTGTCATTAGAACTTTTCAACAAATCTAGGAGATGCAGGACTGTTACCTTATGCCAACGTAGAGTGAAGAGAGGCAGGGCCAGGTGACAGTAGGGGCAAGTTCTGATCTGGTCTGGGTCTCTTCCATTGCCCCAGGGTCTACTGCATGATCTGTTTGACAGGGAGGTTGCTTTGTAGGCGCTGATTAGCTGAGGAGTGGGATTCCAACCAGAGAAATCACACTCATCCTCCTCTTCCTCATCTGCCTGAGCCTCTTCATTGTCCCCCCTGGATACTAGATTGCACTTCCGCTGGTTTGTGGAGACACAAAGGTATAATTTTAATCGCTGCATGTTAGCAAATGCTGTATAGTGGATTTTAAAGCCAGACTACTGTAGGTTACTTTTGGAAAAGGAAAGAACATATTCTTTCTCTTGCAAATTAACAGAATTCATAAGTTGTAAAAAGTACACTCATGCATTTTACTACCACAGTCTTAGTAGGTCTGGTATAACCAGCAGGTTCTGATAGCCAAATTTAGCTGTTTGCAAACATAAACATCGCTGAATAATGCACATTGCCGGGTCAGGTCACAGACTTTATGACTCTTATCCACTTATGCTACTGTTATATCTTAACATTTTAAACAATTATTACGCTACTGTATAGTAATAATTGTGTCATAATTGTCGCTTTCCTCTTTGTGACTGCTTTGTTGCAAAGGTCAACATTCAGGGGGAAAACGAACAAAAAATGGATACAATACAAAAGTCACCATGACACATAACTTCAAACAAAACAATGGAAAAATGTTAATCTTTTAAAGTTTTTGCTTTCATGCTCTGTATGGCATGTAACTTTCAGTCATTCATTTAGGATGTAATAATATTTATGCGATTTTTGTGCTCCATGTAATGCACTGCATGTTTATCATGAGGAACTGTGACCATTATATATAACAGAAATGTTTATACTATACCTCATGATCATCTATGTCCTCAACTGGAAATGGTGCTGTACATCTGCTACAAGTTACTGTAAGTTTTGCTGCAGTAAGAAAATTGGCATAGCAAGAATTAATCATAGAGAATAAGAGTTTTCTGGAGGTTTGACATTTTTGCTGAATCCCATATCCTCTTACTCCCATCTGGTGGACCGTTAGTAGTTTTAGGGGGACTTGAGGCATTGTCAGTAGTCGAGCAGGTCAAGGTGTGCGCTGGCTGGTCACTCAATCTGACATAGCGGCCGCAGTCCCTGCAGAGCTCGGTGCGACTACCACAGACCCGACAGTGCTCATCCAGGTGCTTCCACGGCAGCTCGAGCTCGCAAAACTGACAGGTCTGCAGACGCTCCACACACTCATCAGACTGGGAGACAGATGGGCAAATAAGTGTCCTGAGGCACATACTCTGTTGAACTTCTACTACAAAACTGGGGCTGTATTCCCAAAACATAGTTCCTATTGTACCATACTACACTTTCCAGGAAAACAACAACGTGCCTCTGGACTCACCTCATGGTCCAATAACTGACAACGTTCTAGCTTCTGGTTGCACTTGGAGCATCTCACCTACAAACAAACATCATGTGATATGTGTGTGTTCTTGTACTTGCTACATAGTGAGGACCAATAACGTTTTTCTTCAGAGTGAGCACATTTTTGGAAAGTGAGGACATTTTGGCCAGTCCTCAGTTTTTGAACCACCTATTTGAGGGTTAAGACTTGGTTTTAGGGTTCAGGTTAGGTATTAGGAGAAGGGTTATGGTTAGGCATTTAATGGTGATGGTTAAGGTTATGGGAAGGAGCTAGGGAATGCATTATGTCAGTGACTGTCCTCATAACTACAGAATGATGAACATATATGTGTTTGTGGAGTAAACAAGTGGCCTACCTGGGTGTGCTGTTCCTCTCTGTGTTTTTCCAGTTGCTCTTTGGGAACTGCTTCATCACAGTCAGGGCAGAGACACAGGAAGCGGCTGCAGTGTGTTTCATGCAGAGCGAAGTTGACCTCTGCAACCTCTTTGTTGCTTGAAAAAAAGTGGAGACTCATTTTCTTTCTTTTTTATTTGGAGAAGGTTTGTTAAAAATGTTGTAAAACAGAGTGTAGTTTAATCATACTACAGTATATTTAAATGTGTCAAAACACTTGACAGCATCGTCAGATAGGCCAATCCGCAGATACACTGCTGCGGTTTCGAGCAGGGCTTTAATCTCCAAAATCTGGTTTGCTGGTTTAACAACTGTCCAAATTACAAACATTGTATTCTGGCTATGCCGAACTGTGACTCCCATTTTTGTGCACGTCATGCGCTTTGTATATTCACCTGCTAATGATCAAAACAACATTAAATACCCACTTTAAAATATTATTCGGTGTGTATGAAGTTAACTCACCACTGGCCGCAGGTGCGCGTTGCCACTTGTTTATCCATTGACAGATACTGTGTCCTCGAACAATGATCCACGGGCAGAAAAAGATTAATATGAAGTGTCTGACAAAGTTTACCTTCGATTTCAGTTCGTCAAAACAGAAAGTGAAATCATCTATTCCACTTTAGGACTATGTTGTTATGCTGCACATCTGCCACAAGATGGGGCAAAAGCTCTCTGGATACCATTGTGATGATTGTTTCAAGATGTCAGGTTACTGGGACTTATTGATTGGGAACATCTATGTAAATTTAATGTCCTGAAATGGGCTAAGCGTGCATCCTACCTGTAATGTTGAACCAGCATCTCTCAAAATGATTCAACATAAGCTTTATCGTCATTGTGGAGACGGTAGATTGTAGTGTTTTTTTGTTTTTTTTTATTAACAAAAACAGGTCTTCTTCATAATTTGATACAACTCTGATGCTTTCCATCACCAAACTATAGTGTCTGGGTGTCTTTTACTGGCTACCACAGAAAAAAAGAAACTTGTCATCATTTAGGAGAGAGACGTAACAAGCGCGAGATATCGCCTCTTTGTGCGCTGCGATGTTTCCGACAGTCCTCGAATGCAACAGAAAACTATACAACGCGTCGTCATGGAGACATACCGGAAGTAGAAACTGTTTTTAGTGACAACAGCTGGGTTACTAGCCAAACATTTGACCATAAAACAGAATAAAGTGACATTATCTGAGTTTATTTATTTTATTAATATCGAGGTTTTATTTGTGCCATGTCGTGTTGCAGCCTCGTGCACAGGACCCCTTCTTTCTGGGGCAAATTAGTTCCTGCTTAAATTAAGGTTAACAAGAGTAGAAATGCACAGCTGCTGCAATCTGTTCAAGACATTTTCTGTGTTTTCCGTAAAGTTGGTAGCGGTAAGTTCTATTGGAAGACGGTATCCTTAAGCGTTTAAGTAAACGGAACCGCAGAAAAAGCGAGGTTAGTCGGAACTTGTCCACAGTCGTATTTTGAGTAGTCAGTGGAGGAAACTGGTTCATTTAAACATTTTAGTGAAACGTTGTACTAACGTGAGCAGCTTGTGTCGACAACACTTTTTGAAACGTCTAATTTGACTGAGTCAACACTAAAACAGCAGCATTAGAAGTGACTTTGGTGGAACGTAAGCCCTATGCACAGTAGCTTTGCTGTAATTTGGTTTAGCCCAGCCATAGGCTATACGCTCATCTGACGTTACATTTATGCCTACAGTAAATGAACGACTATGTTTGCGCTATGTTACCGTGGAATGAGGTAACAGGATGTTTTGCAATGACGACAGCAGTGATATTTTGCCATTTAGTGCAATGAACAACTTTTTTTCCCCCCAGTTAGTTTGATAAGTAGACTATTCACAGGTAGAGCTTAAGTGTTGACACAAATGCACCTAAAAGAGCTGTCTGCCCTTATCCATTTCCAAGGTGCCCCTGTCTGGGTATGTCCCACTCAGCCACATTGCCCCCCAGTGTTGGGGCCACAGCCCCAGACACTCTGTCTCTTTTGCACCAACGTCTGCTGTTGGCTGAGCAGGAGGCTGAAGCTCTTATTCGAGACATGGGTGGCCTGGGAGTATCCAGGGACCAAATCTTGGGCTCTGCGAAGATGATGGATGAGACTCAACGGCCACTAAGGCTTCTGAAGAATAATCAGGTCCAGGGGGATGAGAGAATGCTGTGGCAACAGTGTAATGTTCTAGTGAGCCGGGTGTGTTGCATGGAGAGTCTGCTCCAGACCTGTAAACTCTCCATCTTCCATCTAGAGACTGAGAGAGAGCTGGATTCTTCTCACATAGGTAATGGCTGATATATTAACCAACTGAGATAAGCGTATTGATTTGGAACTATTGTGGCTACTATCAGGATACAGTGCATGGGTCTGTTAAACATGGTTCATTTTTACAACACAAGAATTATGGATATTAAGAAGAAATGTTAATTCAGAATTGTTGGAACATGCCAGAGAGTAAAGGGGCAGGAAAAAATAGGCAGAACTGGATTTTTTTTCAGTTTTCTCTTTTACCTGGTGCAGCTAATCTGAAGCAGCAGCTGACAGCGCAGAAGCAGAAGAGTGAGGAGGAACAGCGGGCCTACAGGAGGGAAGTGGTGAAGCTCAGGAACCAGCTTCAGCAGGCTTATCAGGAGAGAGATGATGCTCGCACTAAGGTGCAGAGGTTGCTGGAGACGATGGAGGAATCTGCTGCTGCAAAGGTAGCACTATAGTTTAATCTTTCTTAATAGTTATGGTGACACTTTACTCACCGTCTTCATTATATAGTCACAAACATGGTTTAGATGCTTTCGATAAGTTATGTAAACTCATGCATCTCTGTCCTTTCTGTGCCTTTATAATGATGCTGCTGTGTAAAATGATGCTGGTTTCTCTGGATATTTCAGAAATTAGTGAGATTTCTGGGTTTTAAAAGACACTTTATAGCGTCTATCGTGTTTTGGAACACCACACTGTTTTGTACACTGATCATTGATTTGTAATGGCGCTGTGGACAATATTTAATTCTCATTTCATAATAAATCATATCCACAAACAAAACCAAATGAACAAATAATTTTATTACAAATTTTTGTGTCTATGTGTACATATATAAACATTAAGTACAGTTGCATTTCTGAAGCACATCATCAGCAGGCCACTTGTTTTCTTGCCTTGTTCTCTTTAGTTTTTGTTATTTGAAGATTTTCAAATTGGTAAAAATCTTAAAGCATTGTGCACCGTGGGCACTGTAGTGCTCAGTGCATACGAGCTGTAAATGCCATTTGTCTTTTGGTCAGATCGATGTGGCTTTGGCTGCTGAGGAGCTGAAGATTGTCAAACTAGAGATGAGTCAAAAAATCAAGGAGGTAAGTGGCTAATTCCTCTTTTATTTAGCCCTTTTATACCACTTCCTTAATTGTCAAGTATATATTATATTTGCCCTGACAAACTGAAAATGAGCCATTCAATTCCAAACCTTTCTATTGGTCAGATGAAAGAGCAGATGAGGCAGGAGACTAGCTGCTCTGCTGAAGTCATGAAATCTCACACAGAGCTTCTCCACCGGGTTGCAGAGCTGGAGAGAGCGGTGGCGATGGAGAGCAGACAGGTATATCATAAGAGAGCTAACAGAGTAATGAGCACTTGTAAACAACAGCTAACATGATGTCTGTTTCTGGTCTCACAGGGTCTGCTGTTGCAGTCGGAGGCGCAGGCTAGTCGGCAGCAACTGAAGGAAGAAAAAGACAGAAACAGACAGTTGGAGAGCCGCTGTCGGCTGCTCAAAGAGCAAACAGGTCAGGAGCATCAAGGGGGGTACCAAATTAGTCTGCTTCTATATTTCACTGGCTGCACTAGAACCCATTCAGAATTCTTTTTGTCATTTTGATTATGTCCTCTCTTGTGGGCCTGATATTATTCATCCCCAAATTTCCACCATTGATCCTGAAATAAAAGACAGTGACAAAGCTGGAATCTGCACATACTAGCTTAAAGCATTGATCTCGTGATGCTACATGGTTTATGAGTTTTCAAATTCCAAATACTTAGAGAAAGCATGGCTGGGGTTTGGGCCTACAATGAGGCCTACAGTGTAGTGTCATATTTAACAGACATATGTCTATTTCCTCTATTTCTTTAAGCCTGTGCTTTAGTGTATCAAGGCAAGGGTTAAACATTATTCATTTATCTGCTTTATGATTCTTTTTAATGTGAACCCCTTTGTAGTTACAATGTAAACACAATCATGTTCCAAAGAAATTAGATTTATTTTCCATTTCCCAGTGCTACACATACAGTAATGTTTTACATTTGAATTACATTTTTCTGTTTGATTCATACAGCGGTGAAGACCTCCCTTGCGTCTGAGTTGGAAATGGAACTAAAAGTACGGAGAGAGTGAAAGATCAGTAAATGAAAGTACCATTTATAAATTCAGATCTATAAGATGTACAATCTGTAATGCATATGATATTTTGTTGGTGGTGAATTTTGTATATGTTTTTTTTTTGTATGTGCGTCTGGCCCTACAGAGGCAGCAAATAGAAAACAGTAAAGTGCTGAAAGAAGGCAGAGACATCAGAACTGCTGCCGGCAGACTCCAGGTCAGCAGCCTCACATGAGTATTTCTTTCTCTTTAAAGCTACGCAACCAGTTTAGACCGTGAGGGTTTCCTGTTTTACCACAGTCATGGGAAGCCTATGATTCACTGAGTCAATGAATCATTCTGCAATGTCCTGTGCATTTTTCAATGTTTTTTTATATTTTGAACAGACTTTGAATAAACAGCTGCAAAGTCAATGCTGCCAGCTCAGCTCTGCACTGCGTGCACTTAGAGTAGTGAATGAACAGGAACAGTTTGAGCATCAGGCTAAGTTACAGGTATATTGACACACACAGAGCTGTGTTTCCATTACTTCTTTGACTTTACGTTTGATTCCTGGAGACTTACCCTAACCTTAACATTCAGTGATATACGTGGTAAGGATTTGCTTTTTGTCACTTTAAGGATGTCAAGTCCCCACGATGTGACGGTGTAAACAGATATATGTCCCCACAACATGAGTAATACCCCCCTCACACACACACACATGTACGTAAAGTTTGACATAATGCAATCCTTAGCCCGTTACCCTAAGCTTTTATCCATCACAACTAAATGCCTACCCCTAACCCTACCCCTGACCTAAACCTCAGTTTATCCTTGACTCCAAAATGAAATCTTATCAAACAACCTGTTGAAGATGTGTCAGAAAGTGATTACTGGCCAAAATGTCCTCACATTGCCACTCAGGTGTCAAACTCAAGCTGGTCCTCACACTAATGGCCTTACACAAACACACACAGTGTGACCCTTTGCTTTCCTATCTTTCAGGCAGAGAGGAGGCAGGTCGTCAAGCAGCTGCAAGAGCAAGTCCTGCTACTGAGGGCAGCCAGACGAAACACTCAGACTGAGCTGCAGGTGGCGCTAGCAGAGAAAGTTTGCCTACAGAAGGAGCTGTGAGTCTTCCAAGTTCACCTCGCATAACCTCACACCTTCAGTTGATATCGATAAGCAAAACTGGAAAGTTAAATTATTCTTTGCAGCTGAAGTTGCTGATGGTGTCATCTTAGTGTTGTAATCATGGCATAGCATGAAAACAAAATGGGTAACATGTTTAGAATACTTTGTTTTATTGGAAGACTCATATAAACACCATTTATGCAGCATCCACATAAAAATGCACCACCTGCAATCGTTTTTTTTTTTTTTTAAATCCCTCTTCATGTTTCCCCATAAACAGCACATGTGCATTATTCTATCTTTATACCATGTACAGAACCGATCAGTGAAAATGCATTGATAAGTGGCTTGCACATTCATAGTCTGATTCTTTCCAGATGCTGGACAAATACCACTTCCCAACAATAAAGATGTGCAGACATCCTTCAGTTTTTAAAATAAACTGACAGATGGAACAGCAGCAAATTGAGCCATGCATTAGACCATAATAAGCTGCATCTGTCTCCTGTCTTATGACAGATGAGTATGTGCTGGTGGTGGAGCAAGATTAACATTTGAGAACAGTAGGGTTAGATGGATATATTGGTTTGCAAGTCTCAGACTGATATTTCATATTTGTCCATTATTAAAAATAAATTCAGTTTCTGCCATCATTTCTTATATAATAGATTTTTTTTTTCTCACTGTACTGCAAACATGGCCGCCTAAAATAATAGTACAAGTCTGGGATTCAGAGAGATCCAGCTTTGTCTAGTGATCTAAATATTTTATCTTCTTTTCTGTGGAAGCTACAACTGGAATGTTTGGACTTGAAATGTATAAATGTACAAAATGCTTTTTGGAAACAACTTTATGGCTGTAAAACAAGTTTGCTTTTCTTCAGAGAGAAGCTCAAAGGCGAACACACTCGGCTCCTCCAGAGTTTTTCCACTGCACGAGAGACAGCGGTCACTCACAAGGAGCTGCTTGAGCAAACCATTGAGAGGCTGCAGGTGGAGCTGAGGATGGCACAGAAACAGGAGGAGGCAGCAAGAAAAGACCTGGAGGCTTCAAGAAATGAGGTATATTTCACAAATGTAGAACTATTTTTGGATGAAGGGTAGTGCACAATATGAAGAAGTAAAACAAGTCTTGACTTTATTAGCAAAATTAGCAAAAACATTGATGTAAACACAGCACATCCTCTGATCCTGTTTTCTTATAAATAAACATCAGTGATTAGTAACATCACCGGTCTTGTGCCATAGATCAGTGAGGTAGAGGCCTTGCAGGGTGTCAGTGGTTTTAGCGGGGGCGTTGTCAGTCAAACCCCTGAAAATGTCCTGGCCTCCCGTACCAGACACCGACTCAGCAGCCAGACCCTGCATCAGGAACTGGGGGGACAAGAACAGGGACTGGCTTCACTTGAGGAGGACAGGTCAGAACTGGTTTACAAACACTGAATGTGAAAGCTATAGAGATACTGTCAATGAAATATCTAAACTCCTACTGGGATGTGTTTGTGACAGTATTTGTGCATGTATTATGAAACGTACGATTTTAAACATGACACCTTATTTAAACATACATAGAAATACAGTGAATGAGTTAATATACTGCAGCTTCCTATTTTAATTTGTCATGAGTACTTGAAGTGCAATGTCTTTAAAGCAAACTGATTTCCTGCATGGAATAAGTATGCTCGTATTTTTAGTTCATACATGTATGAACGAAAACAGACTGCACAGATTTGGATATGTATGTAACTGTTGAGGTACCATGTGCTGTCATGTTCCAGGTTACAGGCACTGAGAGACATCAGGAGCCACCAACTAGAGGTGGAAAAACTCCAGCAACTCCTGACATCTCAGTCCAGGAACAACAGAGCTGTAAGAACTCACACTATTACTAGTCATACAAACTTTTTACATTGTGAGTTATGTTAGTTTAAAACACTTGAATAGGTTTCTTGTTACAACACACATTGTCTTTTATTTTTAGAAATTTTAATATATTATTCCGTGATCTATGTTCACTGTTTCCTCAGATGTATATCCTTTACAAGGCGACTGTATGGCAATTGAATTTGTCCTAGGACAAGTTGCATTAGAAGGCAGAAATCGACTTTTTTGTAATGGAGCCAAACAAGATTTGTTCATACTGCAAAATGATTAAAAATTGGCAGATGTGGAAGAAAAAGTAAGGAAGGAACTCTGGGCAAAACATTAAAAATGATTGGATGAGACTTAATTGGTCACGTCCTCACTATTCTTGGATGGTCAGCAGGATTCATAGCTAGTACACACACAGTATCTCGTTAGTTAATGGCCAGGATGGCTATTTACATCTTTACAGGCCAGTAAGAAGAGTATGGTTAGTGACTGCAGAGGGAAAGGAGCGAATGGTCAATAGGGGCACGCAGCTAATATTTCCCATGGATTCCCCTCATGAATTTATCCAGTTATGTTCACAGTGTTTGTATAATTAGAACTGGGTATATGTCTTTTGTGTGTGAACCTTCCAGTTGGAGTCCTTGCAGAAGGGCTTGGAAGTAGCCAAAGCTGATAACAGCAGGCTGGCCCAGAGTTTGGAGCAGGCTGTGTCGACCAACAGCAGTTTGCATAGCAAACTGGAGCAAGCCAGAGACCAGTATCAGGCCACCATCGCTCTGAGGTACTGTACACTGCCAAGAATCAGCTTGGTGACAGTGTGTGGACATCTTATACGACATGTATTAAAGATATGTTTGTGCTGATGCCACTTTTATCGCAGAGATGAGGAGCTGTGTGACGCTCGCACAAAGATTAGCTGTTTGTCTGAAGAGCTGGGCGCCGTGAAGCAGCAACACAGAGAAAACTATGAATCTCCAGTGAAGACACTGCATCAACAAATTGCAGAGGTAGCAGACTGCATTACACTTTTATTTTTTTAAGCAAATGACACACCTCAGATATAAAATCTGTGCGAGTACAAAATATTCCAAGATAAATCTCCTCTTGCCAAATTCCTGATTAAACAGCATCTCAGTCCCAAACTTTTGGGAAAGTTCAAATAGGACTTGAAGTAAAAGTTGGAAGCAGCCAAAAACTGTCAAGAGATTTACCGTAGTGTGTAAAATGTAAATATATATAGATATTCATAATCCCTATTGAAAATCCTTACCAATGCCTGTGCTATTTCCCTTTGATGCAGTGTGGAAAACAGCAGAGGCTGCAAGATGTCTCATCATACTTTTTTTTGGTTTGCTGCATCAGCATGTTTCTTAGATTTAATTAACAAATGATTCATCAATGTAAGATGAATAAACAGTTGTACCAGCACTCTTCCTACATCCTCAGGGTTATCCTTTTTTACCTTGTTTATGTGAACTTCTTGTCTCCTTCTCTAGCTGAAAATGGCAATTAAGGATTCATCAACGGGGTCAGGTGACCAGTTCAAGGCCAATCAGGAGCTCCAGCACAGGGTGTCAGAGCTGGAGCGGCTGGTGTCCAAACAGAAAGCTCGTATCAAAGAGCAGAGTCGTCAGCTGAGGCAGCAACAGAAGAGCAGCTCTCAAAAGGCTGAGGTAACATTATTTCACCTTGTACACAGTAACGATAAACAAATGTTGAGTCAGGTCAATAATTTAGTTTCTGGCCAGAAATCATGGAACTTATTTGACATAAAAGTGAATGGGTTTTAAAACTCTTAATCTAAATGTGATGTGCCAGCAGAAGCTGGAGGAGAGCGTCAGGAACGTGCAGGGTGACGTTCAGCTCCAGGAGATCAACTCCTACCTTATTATTTATTCAAATTCAGTAATTTTATCAGTTCATCCTATTCTCGGCTTGATTTCCTTTTGGTTCAGTGTGAAACATAAACCTCATTTAAATGAATGATGCTCTTTGAAGCTAGTGAAACTCGAGGTTCATCAGTAACAATCATGGGTAAAAATGTATGCAAAATTTATGCACTACTACTTACTCTGGCAGAGACTTGAATTAACATGTAGCTGTAACTGGCTTATCCTTGACTTTAACACCCCTCTGGTTTGCACAGCTTGTTCAATTAAATGGGATGCAGAGTGGGAGAGGTGGACTTCTACCATCCAACGCTGGGAGGCCAAGAAAGATCTGCTTCACAAGCCAGTGAGCACACAGCTGGCAACACATTCAAAGTCGTGATGACCAGCACCTGTAGAAGTGAGGTATCTCATATACACACACAGGAGCACGGTGATCCTTTGCATTTATTCAGACATTAAATAGTGACCAACAGAGCGGAGATAGCAGCCACATGAGAACTAGCAGCTGTGGAGTCAGACACATGTGTTGCTCTTTATGTATTGATCAAAATTTTGTCGGTGACGGGGGAAACATGCATGCTCACCAGAACAAACTGTACAACCATAACACTGTTATACTTCTCCACTGTACAAAGATTTGTATTTTTTTGTACAAACAGATTCTTTATACAAAAGTATTTTTTTTAAATAACACTGTGTACAAATGATTTTCTATCTATTGCACTTGCACTTTGTTATATACAGAGTTGGCTTCTGTTATTTGGTGAGTTAACTGAATATATGATGTGACCCTCTCACTTGATTCCCAGGTTGCCTTGATTCAGATGTCATCAGAAAACTCAAGAGATGTGAATACTCCAATAGCACAGGTTCAACTTCCAAATCAGCTCCTCCAGTAGGGATAAGCCATTGTCCATGCAGTGAATAACTACCCCCCCCAAAGGCCGAAGAGTTTGATGTGGGTAGAAACAAAGATCCTGTTTGGTGCTGCACTTTGCTACATATCCTGAGGAAAACATCCACTGTGAGTCCATCTTCTATTTAAGTTGACAAAAAAAAAGTACAAACACTCACAGTAACAAGAATCCAATACAGGCAAACAGGACGACAGTCATGACAGCTGAGCAGTGACCATGGCTCTCTACGGCCACCAGAGCGCAGCACTGTGACACACAGCTACTCCAAATTGAAAGAAGGGCGTTTTGGCAGGCACAAGGATGCTACTGATCCCAGTTCATTTCAAATTGGTCCTTGTCCAGTTTACATTTAATTTTTAATCTTCTGATAAGCTTATGTTTTTCTAGTTGATGCTACAAAGAATAAGTGCTTAATTAAAAACCATACAGCTTTTGATTCCTACACATAATGTATGTGATACATCTGCTAAAATATAAAAATAGATGATTTGAAAATAAATTTAAACATATAATCAAGTAGTATATGTACATGACCACTGTACTGTGACCCATGCTTAATTTGGTTGGTTCAGACAAATACCTGTAGATGTTTCTGATAACATGTTAAGCAGAAAAGAATTTAATTCCTGTGTTCTTTATGTTGAATCAGCTTTATGCACTCATCATGTCGGCGCAGGTGGGTCGGTTAGCAGGCTGGGCGGCGAGGTCACCATACAGAACATTTGTCCGCAGGGTTCATTGGGGAACCCTTTGGACAATGGAAAACACGGGCAAACTCATCAAACTGGGAAACACTGCCGATCACTCTGTAGGTGGATGAAGCACAGAAAAAAAGAGGTGAAACATTTGTGCCTGGGTTCCGTAGTAAAGAAGCACCTTGCATTCAAAGCTGAAAAAAACTTAGAAGAAAGCATCTGGATGTAGTTTTAGGTAGAAGACGTTTCACCTCTCATCCAAGAGGCTTCATCAGGTCTGTCTGACTGGTGGTGAGTGGGAGGTGATGTTTCAGTCGTTAGGGGATATTGTTGGCTTATCGAAGGACTGAAACACCATACAGTGGGATAAATACCTCCCTGATGAAGCCTCTTGGATGAGAGGTGAAACGTCTACCTTAAACTACGTTCAGATGCTTTGTAAGTTTTTTTTTTTCCCAGCATACCACGACATCTTGCATTCAGAGAAAATAAATTAGGACCTTATGTGGTAATTATGACTTATTTCAATTCAATTTTTTTTTCTTGGAATTATGATAGTAAGTCATAATTACCATATCTTTTCTCACAAGACGAGTCAGATATGAAATAGACTCCTCCAATTTTTTCCGTCGGTGAATGCAATGTGCTTCGGTAATGTGCAAATGCATACAATGATGTGATCATTCAATTTATTTCACAGGAAAGGGGAGCACTTCAACCAGGACCTGTGCACTCCTAATCACAGGGCTGCACCCGACTAAGAATTTTGGCAGTTGACTGCTCAGTGTGACTGTTCTTGTTTTTAAGACTATATACACCGACCAGGCATAACATTATGACCACCTGTACATCTGTGTGCACTTCAATGCAACACTTCTGCCTTAACATTTGTGTTTATGAAGCTCAAAATGTTTCAGTTTTTGGTAAGATTGTCATAAATGTATAAATTCAATTTTATGTTCATTATTGAGGTCATAGGTGGTGTTGTACTGGACTACATTATATTCAGAGGTGTTCCTAATATTCTGACCCTCTCATGTATGTCAATGTGCAGGACAAAAATATACAGACACCTCTGAATATAATGTAGTCCAGTACAACACCACCTTTAACTATGACCTCAATAATGAACATATAATTGAATTATACATTTGACAAATTCACCAAAACTGACACATTTTGAGCTTCATATGCAGAAGTGTTGCAGTGAAGTGCATACAGATGTACAGGTCATCATATTATGTGATCGGTGTTCAGTAAGGCTGCCACCTCAAAGTCAACTAGTCAAATTATTAGTGTGAGGCCTGTCAGTCGACTGAGACTCATCTAGTTGCACCCATTTTTATTTTATGAGATTTTTTTCAGCCAGTGTAGAAGGTAGCCTCAGACCGGCAGCTTGTCGTCGTCTTGTCCTCATGTTGCTGTGCCAAGCAGCGATTTGCTCGATACAATTCCCCCTATGGTTGGGCGGAACAGTCTTCAACAATGACCTTATCCAGTGCCTGGATGTATTAAGGTCCAACAACGCTGTTTAGAAAACTGCCCACAATGAGGAGAAAAAGACAATGCACTAGAAAAAGCCACATAAAGGTGAGATGTGTAATTTTTTACATTTTTTACATTTATGTTTTCAAACATTATGGTCTTTAACAATTAAGATTAATAGTCATGAATATGTGGCTCGTTTAAAATATGTACATCTGGTTTGTTTGCCCATCGCTGTTAAAGTGTAAGACAGTAGTTTCTTATGTTGCTGCGACATGCATCCATCCAAACGAGACTAGGAAGCTAACAAAAATGTGCTGGGAAAACGTTTCAATAAGGAATTATAAATGAGAGAGATCATAATTATATATTTTTCAACAGTACAATCTGGTACACCTCAAACATAACATCATGCCATTGTAAGCTAACAAGAAGCTCAAACTTGTTGGTAAACTGAACTATAAACTAGGCTATAACTGTCTCAGAAGAAAAGAACTGCCTATAACAGCATTCAACAGAAATATAAGTGCCTGTCTCGTTATTCTGACAAATTCCTATGGCAGCCCGATAATGTATATCATCAGTTTAGGTTGCAATTTACATCTTGCATCGTATGCAGCTGTTTTTAATTTTTTTAAATGCTCAGAAATATGTTCCTGTCTCTCGTTTGCATTTGATTACAAATGCTGCTGTGGTCTAAATCAGTGAAATTCATGCTAGTTGATTTTCTGACAGTCTATGCTATAAATGTATACACACATATAAACGGACTGTCACACTGAATATCCAAGTCAAATGAAAAATTTTTTTTAGTCGGATACAGCCCTAAAATATACTATATACTAATCAACTGGCATGAATTTCTCTGAGTGCCATCTGGTGGGCCACGAAGTAGTACTACAAGGGGTTAAATTAAAATTATGATTTTGTAAATTACAAAGCATGGTATTGACTAAATGTGCTCAAGAATTCAGACAACTCTGTGCCAGTAAACGCTCCCGAGCATGTGGTGAAGAAATATGATCCTCAATATATTAAATGCATATACTGAAAATAGTTTTTTCTCATTTACATTTGTCATAGTGATCCTCAGAAATTTTTTTTTTAATCAATCAAAAGTGGGCCTTAAGTTACAAATGGTTGAGGACCCCTGATTTACTCCACATTATCATTGGTATTGGAATGCAAAAGAGTGACAAATCAATAAAAACAGCTGCATTTGATGCAGCATTTAACTTTCAACCTATTTTAATCAACGATATATAATCTTTGGCTGCCATAAGAATTTGTCGGAATGATGACAAAGGCACTACACATATTTCTTATAGGCCTTTTTTTCCCGAGACATGGTTACAGCCTAGTTTACCAAAAAGTTTAATCTCCTCTTGTCAGTAGTAAATTATAATTCCTCATTGAAATGTTTTCCCAGCGCATCTTTGTTAGCTTCCTAGTATAGTTTGGATAGATGCATGTCGCAGA